CTCCCGCTCCGCCTGCAGGACCGCGAGCGCCCTCGAGGCGCAAAGGCTCCGGGCTGGGACTGGCGGTGCGCTCTGGGAGGCTGAGGCAGGAGGGTCGCAAGTTCGAACCCAGCTTGGGCCCCGTGGCTATTTAGCGAAACCCTGACTCAAAGTAACAGGGGCTCGGGACGTGGCTCTGCCCAGAGGCCCTGAGTTCCAAGCCCAGGACCTGAAAAGGAGCCGGAGAAGGAGAGGGGTCGGAGGAAGACGATGACGGTGGGGGCGCAGCTCCGCGCCCCGCCTGTGCCAGGGACCAGCTTCTAGGGAGCGACAGGGCAGACCGCAGCCCGACGTACACCACCCTCGGGGGGCGGAGAGGGGCCCCGCGGACCCGCTGGGCTTGGGCCGAGTAGAGATCCGGGCTAGCCGCTGCGGTGCGGGGCCGGGGGCCGTGGCCCGGGGTCCTCGAACTCCCTCCCCCCGGATCCCCGCCCCGTGTCTCTGGGACAGCGGCGACCCCCGAGCACAGTGAAGTCCAGGGTTCGCGCCCGGGTTCGCAGAGGAACCGCTGGGGCCGCTCCGCCATCCCGCAGGACTTCGCCCTGGGTGCTGCGCGCTGACCTCAGTCCTGCCCCACGACGACCCTGTCCAGGGCCCGGCTGTTTGCCGCCCGCGGAGGGCCCGACCTGCAAGGCTCCCCCTGGTGTCCAGAGGTGGGAACGCGAGCGGATCGGAAGGGACGGTCACCCCCTGAGGAACACTGGGTCTGACACCAGGCCTGAGGGGCCAGGAACCCCTTCCACACCGGGAGCCAGCAAGCGGCCTCACGGCCCCTGGTCCCTGTCATAACGCCAGGCCTCTCCACAACCACGGCTGCCGTGCAACACAGAAAGTGAACCCACACCGCAGTGTTTTTCCTAGCTCACGAGCAGTAAGAAAACCAATAAGGAGCTAGGCTTGCCCAGAGATGAACCCGATGCAGAACTGGCTTGGGGCGGCGGGAGATCAGGCGACAAAACAGATTTACTTAAACCGAACACAAACACTTGAATTAGTCCTGATTGTGTTTGTTTAGTGAGGAAACGGTTCACTGAGAGTAGGTGGGAGAGCGAGGACCATCTTGGGCACAGCAGAAGGACCTGGGTGGGGCCCCTGGTCCTACCCCGAGACTGCAGTCCCTGGCTCAGCTCCAGTCTTCCTTGCGCGCCCACACACTCCCTCCACGCAGCTCCTCCATCCCATCCTTACTCTTCTTTCTGTTTCTCCTGCACAACTGGCAGTTGGAGTTCTCGCTTCTGCCTGTCCTGGAAGAACAACTATGAATACAAAATTAACAGCTTGCTATGTGTGGTATTAGCACGGAGCCGCTGGGTTCAGCGCACACTGTAGGCAAGGGGGCCGGTCACACAGGCAGCGCTGGGACAGTAGGTCTCACCTGCTCCCCGCTCTGCTTCCCCATGTGCAGCCTGGACAAGGAAAACCCAGGAATTGCCTGAGATGCTTAGAGAGCGGTCAGTGGCTTCTCCAACACAAACCACTTCTCTTCCAGACCCCGCCACAGTAAGTGCCTGGGCTCGGGCCCACCTCCCACACCTCTGCAAGCTCTGGAAGGCAGCAGCCTTGTGCTGTGGGCCCAACCCTGACAAGACCAGCTCATACGAGACCCTCGGTCAGCGTGTGGTCCACTTATGAAACAAATGTTCCCGAAAGACAGGTGTGGCTCTCGTATCGTTCTTCTTACTAAGACCCAGCAGTGGCCCAGATCCTTCTCGGAATGGCTTCCAGGTCCTGCCAGCCCACCCGACCCTGGGCACTGTCATCCGAGATGGCCGGCTCCACCCTGACTGTGCTCTCGCATCACCTCCTCTGCCTGCTGTGTCCTCCTTCCAGGTCACATCTAACCGATTCCTACTCCTGCTTCAAAGTGAAAGCTTTCTTCTGTCCAGGCCTCCTTGTGAACCAGCCCATACCTGTGCACGGCTCTTTCATGCACAATCTACATCCTCTTCAAACTCACTGCCTACACAACTCCCGCCCTGACTGCCCCAAAACTGCTTGACAGGAACAGGTGGGTGTTAGCTATCTTCCATGGCTACCAAGAAGTAGGTTTGCTGCAAATATTTAAAGAATAAAAAAAAAGTGGGGCCGCACACACACACGCGCACGCGCACACACACACACACACACACACACACAGAGTTTATTCCTCTGTATCTGAGGAAAGGTCTTTCCTGAATCCTGGCTTCTAAAACTCAATGCAGCTGCAACTCTGCACAACTTGAGTGATGAATTATGTCACCAAATCCAGTGCTATATTTAAAATAACACACTTAAAGCATCAACAACTGGGATCTCATTTTTTTAAAAAGTTTCTGTGCTGCAAGAGAAATCACCAACAGCACTAAGAGACAACCTATAATGTGGGGAAAATTTTTACCAGCTGCTCCTCAGACAAAGGTCTACTATCTAGACAATATAAAGAACTCAAAAAAATCAGGCCCCCCCAACCTGATTCAAAAATGGGCGTCTGAAATGAACAGACATTTATCAAACAAAGAAGTAAAAGCAGCAAATAAACATATGAAAAAACATTCAACATCACTGGTCATTCGAGAAATGCAGATGAAAACACTGAGATCCCACCTCACCCCAGAAAGAATAGCTGCTATTAACCAATAACAAATCAAGTGATTAACCAATAACAAATGCTGGTGGGGGTGTGGGGAGAAAGGAACCCTTCTCCACTGTTGGTGGGAGTGCAGATTAGTGTAACCACTGTGGAAATCAATATGGAGATACCTCAAAGAACTAGGATTAGAAGTACCATTTGACCCAGCTATTCCCCTGCTGGGTATCTTCCCAAAAGAATTTAAAAAGAATCATACCACAGCAATATATGCACACCCATGTTTATAGCGGCACAGTTTGTAATAGCTAAAACTTGGAAACAGCTCAATTGATTAAAGAAGATGTGGGGTTTTAAAACAAAATGGAGTATTATGCACCCATAAAGAATGAGAAACTAGAGACATTTACAGCTAAGTGAATGTGCATTGAGGCCATACTCTTAAGTGAAATTAATAGGACACCCACCCATGTGTAAATACCAAAGCATTTCTCTGGTGTGGTAAACTAAAAGTGTAAATAAGGGTCAAAATGTATAATTGATATTTTGTAATAGGAAGAAAAGGTCTAAGGGTATTGGGCAAATAGGAGGGGTGGGGGAAAGGTAAAAAGGGAAGAGAAAAAGGAAGAGAAAAGGAAGAAAATGGAAACAAAGGTCTTTGTAAAAAGGGACACTAGGGGAATGGGGAAAAAATGAGAACCAAGACCTGTCACGTAAAGGTACAAGATCCCAATGATGAGTGTAACTGTACTGTACACCTAAAATGTACCAATAAAAAATTTTGTAAACTAAAATAATGTGTATGCTTTATCGAGAAAGCTCTTACAGCACAGTGTTCGGATGTTTCCTTACAGTAATCTTCGGATACCTTATATCGATGCCCGTGTTTTCAAGGCCGATGATTCCTTCCACCGTTTGTTTGATTTTTATAAAAACCCCTCCAACCCTGGAGCTGTAAGGCATGAGATTCTGCTCCAGCGAGCCTGGGAAGGAAAGCGCAAACCCCGAGCGGAAGCCCCTCAGCCTAGCGCTGCTGTTGTTTCTGACCTGCGGAAGACAAGAGTGTTTCTCACCGCTCCTTGGAATCTGTGCCCGGAGTAGCAGGGTGATCGCAGGCAACAGGCACTGGAACCAAGCTGTGAACTCGTGGTAAGTACAGGGGTGACCACCGGAGTCCTGTCTCTGGACGTGTGGATAACTGCAGTTTCACAGTTTCTCTCTTCGCAGTACCTCCCAGTAACTCAGGGGGAAGGTAGAGTAGACATTGCCCCTGTTCCTTTCTGAACAGTGTAAGTACAGAGAATGAGGAGGGTTTTCTCAGGCTGTCTGGGTCCTGATAAGGTCTCGGAGAGCCGTGGGACCAAAGCGCACAGGTCGGACCTCACTCCTACCTCTCCTCACTCTGTGGCCTCGGACTTGTTTACTCTCCCCGTGCCTCAGTGTCCTCCTCTGCAAACTGAGGTACCAGTGAGGCACATCTCCTGGGCTTTGTGGAGATAAAAACGTTAACACACAAAAGGCACTCGGCCGGTGGTCAGCGCAGCTGCACCTTTCTCAGCTGCACAGGGAGCTGAGAAATGGCCAGGCTGGTTCAGGGCCTCAGAAAGTTTCAAAGGTTTCAAAAGAGGCCCAAAGAATGACGCTGTTCAAAGCGGCTCAAAGGGAAAAAAGAAATCAGACAACATGGTAAAGCACATCCTTCAGCGGGCGCCACAGCCGAGCACCTCCTTGTCCTAGGCGTCGAGCGGCCAGCAGGACCCGGGCGCCTGACACCCAGAGGCCCGGCTCTCACAGACCCCACAGCGCCTGGCCAAGGACTGCAGCGGAACAAGAGAAGAAAGGAAGCGAGTGTCTGCACGTGAGCCAGGAGACGCTTTCTGGGTTCTCCTCTCTCCAAGGGGCCCAGTTTTCAGTTCCACAGAAGTGAATCCCAGCCACGGTGATTGCCTTTCAGTCCTGTCAAACTGCTTCAAAATATTTTTACAATACCCGTTTAGACTTTGCCGGATAAGGAATCAAAGACACGGGGAGAAGATTCCTGTTCTAGCGCCTTTCCATTTCCCTCCTCAGAAATGCCCTCCCCGCTCCAGGGACCTGAGGCCTGGCCCGGTGCAGATCAAGCCCCAGCTTCCCGCAGCACCCGCCTTGGCGCCCTCTGACGTCCGCAGCGGTTTGAGCTCTCAGATCACATTGGACGTTTCCTTCTCTTAGAAGGAGTCTCTCCTTCCCTTTCTGCTTCCTCCTGTCCCGCTTGCCAACAGTAGGTGCACATGCACAGTAGCTCTGATAAATAGTTGTTTACTCATGGAGTGCCAGTGAGGAAACAATCACTAAACCATCAGGAGTGGAGAAGTGAGGGTCCCTGCCTTGTAAAAATACGGCAAACATCTGTGTTCTGGCACCATTTCCTCCAGACAAATGACCTTCGGTTGAATGACCGCCATCACCTTAGAGCCATGTTAACAAGCCCCTTCCCTGCCTCCATGTGCCCAGCTCTAGCTGTGCCCCGTGTGAGTTCACACTTGAGTCAATCTCCCCCTCTTCTAGCTCCAAGGGCCAGGGACCCAATGAATAAAGCAAGTCTCCCGTAAGTGGGGAGTAACAGGGAGAGAGAGAGACAAGGGACTGAACTGAAGACAGGTCGGCTCCAAGTATAAAGGTAAGAAAATGGAAACTACCCAAACTTAAAGTCCAAATTTCTCCCAGCATCTTGATCCCAGGGGGGAAAAACTAGACTGAAAGATGAGTCGTTTTGGTTGTTGTTGTTGTTGTTTTCTTTTTATTGAGTTTATTGGTACAATCTAGGTATACAGTACAGTTACATTACTGGGATCCTGTACCTTTGCATGACAGGTCTTGCTTCGCATTTTTCCCCTTGTCCCTGCCCTCCCTTCACCCCTTCCTCCCCTTCCCTTGTTTTTTTAATCTGTGGAAATCGTGCGAGAGTGGTCTGGGAGCTCCTGGTTTGACCTGCACTGGCCACCGGCTTCATGGCTCCTTCCGAGGCCTGCGGCACTTGGAGCTGCTGACCACCCGAGCCTGTGCCTGGACGTCACCAGGGCCGGCTGGGGTGGCCCCAACAGTCACGGCTTTATCTCGCTCTCACAGTCACAAAGTACTGGCCCTCAGGGTGTCTTCGGTCTGCACCATCAAAGCCCTTCAGAGTTTAGAAGGTGAGGCATTCTCGGCTCGATTTCCCTGCGACCAGAGAGGAAAGGGACCTGTGAAAAGCGATGCACTCTGGCGAGTCAATATCTCGTTTCCCGTCCAGGGCTCGCAGTCGCAGAGACAGCCGCACCCCGGTCAGCCCAGTGCCTACAGCACCGTGTACAGCGCACACCGTCGCGTTCCTGTGGACGCCGCCCGGCCAAGGGGAGAGGAAGAGCTCATCGCACGGGATGGGGACACTCTTCTGAAAGACCCTGGCTGGGCGGCTGAAACAGCAGACGCCAGGCTCGCAGCTGAGAAGCCGGGAAGCCCAGGACCCGGGGGCCACCCAGTCCTGGACGAGACGGTGCCCCGGTGGCCGCCTGGCCATCGCTGTAGGGAGCTGCAGCCGGCTGGGACGGTGACACCGGCGCTTTGGGAAGGCAGCGTCCACGGGTCACTCACCCCCAGGGACATGCATCGGGGTCATTTTCCCGCGCTCCTGTCTGAAGAGACATCACGAGGATGACGCCGTAAGGACGCGGTGGCTCCCCAGCCCTGGAGGACAGCACGCTTGGTGTCCTGCTGGTTTGCAGATCTCCCTTAAACTCTGGCTGTGTTTTCAGGTCCAACAAATCAGTCCCTTGAATCTGACTCCCGCCCGCTGTGCACGCAAGGCTCCCCCTCCTTCCGAAGGCTTCGCCCGGGGCTGCCGCCTGGTATTGCACAGGGCTGCTCGCCGTGCCCAGGTGGCAGGGCTGGGATGTGGGATTCCGAGGTCCCTCCCGGGACAGCGCCAGGAATGCAGCTTCCGGACTCTGCCAAGACCGACCTTTATGAGCTGAACCCGAGGGGAAGCCGTGGCCCCTACAGGGCCCTGGCGCACTCTCCCCAATTTGTCTTCCCTGTGCTCACCTGGTGACTACTGTCCGGCCAGGACAGACCGGCTCATCCGACCTCACACCGCCAGGGACCTGACCAGGCCCAGCAGGTGAACCGTGAGGCTGGCCTGCGTGAGACTTACAGACCCTGATTCCCCTCCAACACCTTCGAGTAGAAAAGAGCACCTTCATCTTGGTACTCTCACGCTTTGGGGACATTTCCTTTGCAGACAGAAAGTCAGCAAGAGTCTAGAAGAACTTCAACATGTTAATTAAAGAACTTTAAGGAAATCATCCGGAATAGGAGCCACATGGATAAATCTGTGTGAGGTAGAGCTTAACAATTTTTTAAAAGAAAACAAAACAACTACATAACAAAGGAACATTCCAGGCAGTTTTGGGAGATTAGGTTCAGGGTGAAGTACATTAAAATTAGCATCCTTCTACTTAAGGGATTTCACAAAAGGCTTATGATATAAGGTTGAAGCAGGGGACAGCTTCGTATAGTGTGGTATCAGCTGCGTTACTACTCCAAAGTGGCGCTATAGGCTCTTTTTTGGTACAGGGATTGAACTCGGGACCTTGTACTTGCGAGGCAAGGCACTGAGCTAGATCTCTGGCCCCTATGAACACTTAGCAGTGTCAACTCTTCACAGGGAATTAGGAGACTGCCGTTTCCTTCATACTTTTCTCTCTCTCTCTCTTTTTTTTTTTTTTTGGTTGCATTTATGTAAAGAACATTTGTCTCTTTAAATTAAAAAATGTTAGTGACTTTTTAATTTCCACCTGAGAGGCTACAAACTGAAGTGACATTAAAAAAAAAAAAAAAAAAACAGTAATTGTACAATTAGTAACTGTGAGAGCCAGAATGAGGACTTAGGCATAGCCCCGAATCCACACCCTGGATGCATCTGGGGATTCTTGATGTATTTGCTCATTTTCACACATCTGGCTCTTGGCAGTAACTGACCTTCTTTATGACTGCCTCTCTTTCCTTGCTCCTTTCCTTTCTTCCTTCCGTTCCTTCTTTCCCTGCTTCCTTCCTGTCTCTCTGCCTCCCCTCTTCTCAAAACGAACCTGTTACAGCTCGCTCCGCTTTCCAGCCTTTGGCGAGCTGGTGAGGAATCCCGATGCCTCGCCCTTAAGTAACCGCTTCTCACGCCGCCATCCGCAGGGTGACCGTTGCCCAGATGCAGACCGCCCTCAGCAGCTGCATGAGCTCAGAAAAATTAGACTAACGAGCCTCGGTTCTTTATGTGTAAACAGATGATGGCAGCGCCTGCTCTGCACGATTGTGTGGTGGTGGGGAGCTAACACCTGTGAGGCAGTTAAATGGGGGAACTTGAGAATGCAGTGAGGGCCGCTCAGTTGCAAGTGTCTGAGCACTTCAGAGAAATGCGTACTGTTTTCTTTTCGGGGTGGGGTCCTGCAGTGTGGCCCAGGCTGACCTCAAACTCCTGGATTCAAGTGATCTTCCTGGCTCAGCCTGCCAAGTTGCTGGAACCACAGTTGTATGCTACTGCAGCTGGAAACAAAGACACACACACACACACACACACACACACACGTAAATGAATACAATGTCTTACTGCATACTCTCCTATTATATTTTTGCATACCCATTATCTCATTATCGTTCCAGTTCCTTGACGTAGGAGATCTGTCATTATGTATTACTGTCCACTGCAACATAAAGGAAAGCTTACCTAGCGCTGTCCAAGAAAATACAAAGCAAGAACAAGCTACTTCTTCTGCCCCGGGGGACCTTATCGTCTTACTATAGCAATAATTCAAAATATCCTGAACTCTGCTGAATTAAAAGAAGCATGATTTAGTGCAAAGAGAAAGATCTATCACTAGAGGAGACAGACAGATTTTACTGGGACAGTGGGACTTGAGCACACCTTGACATCAGAAAGGCCAGAGAGAGGCCGGGGATTTACCTCAGTGGTTCCGGCGTCTGCCTCGCAAGCACAAGGACCCGAATTCGATCCCCAGTACAAAAAAAAAAAGAACAAAAGGCCGGAAAGCCATTTGGATGTTGAATCCCCTGGCTCTAAGTGGCCTAAAAGAGGAGAAATACATGGCAAGAATGCCACTGTCGGGTCTACTGAAAAGGAGCAGAAGCAGAAGTACAGTTTTCCTCTTCCATTAGGCCCAGAACGAGGAAGAGGTCATGGACAAAGTCAGTCCCATGTCACTGTGCCGGGAACGGGACCAGCTGTGTTACAGACATAATCCGCAATCACCGAGTGCTTGTCCTCGTGGCTTCCTGGGTGTTCAGTCTGTGCTATCTCACCAACCACACTGCTTAACTACCAGCCATGCACCTCGGAGAAGCTAGGAACTGCAGTATTCTCCCAGTAAAGTCAGAAGAGTGTTACATATGCCTCAGAGCTGTGACAAAATTAAATGACACCATGTCTGAAAGTGCCAAGCCCAAGCCAGGCACAATGTAGATTCCCAATAAGCGCCGCCTTCCTAGTCCATGCTTTTCTTCATCTCCATCAGTTTGTTTGTTGGTTTTGGTAGCAGGCCACTGATCATTCTCATGCCTCTTCATTACTATGATTAACACCCACCCACAAGAATAGTTTAAAGTTATTTCTCCAAAAGGCAAGTGATTCTCGTTTCAAGACCAGAAGGCAGGCAGCACCAGCAGTCCCATGACCTGTTTTATCACAGAAACTGGAAGCCAGGAGAAGTGAAATAGCTCTCACTCTTTGAGGTGGATTAACGAATGGTCAACTTGGAAAACCCAGCTGGACCGGATCAGCATGGTTCTGGGCATGGAAGACCCATCTGAGGACTGTTGCCAATGGCATAAAAAGAAACCTACAGGGAAGATCATTTGCTGTTGATTTTCTAGGAGAAGTTTGCCAAGGTTGGTTCTCCTGATGTGAACTTGGCTGTTCTCATCGGATAGGAACTCAGGACCTCACTGTGCTGGGAATGGCTCCTGTTCTTGTCAGGACAGCCCTGATCTCCGCCTTGAATGTTGCTTCCTGGCTACAGTGCGGATCGCTCAGCTTGAAGGCACAGATCCTTCATCTCTCTGGCGCAGACTTTCTAGCTTCTGCTGCTGGCCTTTGGGTCTCTTGGGTGCAGATCCTCGATACAGACAAGCATGAGACATCACCATGGGCCCCAGACCTTCAGATGGACTTGTGCAGGACACTGCTGTGGGACCCAGGCTCTCAGCTAGATTCTCTGGGCCTCTAGAGTGTGAACAGATCTCTTGCGCTCCTGTGAATTTGATTTTGGGGGTGAATATGATAAAATAATCCTATAAATTATGTATTCTGTATTACGTCAATTCCCTGGCAAATCCTATTCCTCAAACTTGGAACGTTGGAGTTATTTTTTTTTCCCCTGAAACATTCAACAACCTGGTTTTGTTTTGTTGTGGTAAATACTAACCCTGGCCCTATTCCACCTCCTTTCACGTGCCTGCCTTCCCTTCATCTGTGCCACTGCGGTGCCCACTTAGTACAATTTTCATTTCTCTCCTGCCCTTCCTCTCACAAATCCAGCCAATCTTATATTTAAACCCATTTCTCTTAAGTACCACTGCAGCTGTGTTACTCTGCTTTGACCATACATTTAAAAGCTAGAAAGTGATTTAAAATTATTCTTATTCATGTGGTATCACATTGAACTATTACAGTCTGATCCACACGACAATTTCATAAGTGAAACTAGCACCACTTGCTGAAAATAATGAACAAGCCCCATGGTCCTGCGTCACCAGCCACATCTTTGCTGACCCTCAAACGTTACTTTAATTTGTTGTAGACACCCACCTGCACGTGTATACCAGCATCTTCCTGTGTTTATGGTTGATCTTTCCAATTAGGGTCCAGTGGCCAAAGAGAGCAGACAGTCTCTTATTGGCCATTATCTTGGTGTTCTGGAGGATTCGGAGAGGCCAGACTGGGCCAAAAACACCATTCTAATATAGAGCACTGGGGGCAAGAAATGTAAATTAAAATTTTCAACCATCATCTTTCATCTGTTCATTTGCCAAATAAGCCAAATTTTAATATTGTTCTTTGTTTAGGTCGATTAAAAATAATAATCATGGGCAGGAGTGAAGCTGTGGAAAAACCAGCATTCACACACTGGTTAGTAGAAAGGGGAAGGTTGTAAACTTCAGGGAGATAATTTAATAATGTCTGAAATGCTCTTAGTTTGTCAATACACTGACTTTTTTCCAAGCTGAGTAGTGATTGCATGCATTATACCATAAGCTTGAGGTTCCCAAAATAAAAATGAACATTTCAACTTTAAATTTAGTGATTACATTGCAAGAGTCTAAGCTTAGAAATGAATCTAAAATATGACAACACAAGCCTTGTAGCTGAGGTAAAAATCACAACATAACTTTAATAGGGAATAATGAAAACCACCTAATGTAGAATACTAGATTAAGTTGATGAAATAATATACAGTTGTTTACAATTATATTTATAAAACAATGTAATAATGTATATTTATGGTACTATAGCAAACAAAAAAATCAAGAGATTATGATCTCCACGCCATTAAAAAAAAAATCCAGACTTTGAATGATGAGCCTTAAAGATTTTTTCCTGTTGTTTTGTACAATATTCTTCAATAAATTTCAATATTCTTATAATTTTAAATACATATAGAGTGTGTAAAAAGAGAGGCAAGAAGTTGTCCTCAGACTGTGAAAACTAGCACTTGGCAAGTTTTCAGAGCAAAGCTATTGTTATGGTTGGGGTCTGAGCATCCACAAAGCCTCACCCGGTGGCTGGATCTGGAGTGTGTGATGCTGGGGTTAAGGGCGAGTGATTACTAAACCAGTGCACTGATCGGCTTGGCGCCCTCCAGTCTCCGTAATGTGGGTGAGACAAAAGGGGCAGAACAACTCTGGGAAGCTCTTGCTGCCTTTGCTACCTTCTGCCGGCCATGAGCTGTGCCCCTCTGCCGTGTGCCCCCTGCCTTGGAGCCAGGCAACCTCGGACAGAAACCTCTACACACTGTGAGCCGCATAAACCTTTCCTCCTTTAACTTCAGGTGCCAGGTATTTAGTCTTGGCAATGAGGAGAGTTACTGACACAGCCACCAAATTACACAGACCTTTTAAGAAGCTGTGCATTAGACTGCAATGGATCCCTATATTTCCAGCAAGAGAAACGCCACTGCGCGGACGTTCAGCTCGTCCGCCATTCACATTGCTTGTCGTCAGTCAGCCCTGAAATGGAGCTGCAGTTTGCTTTCTGGGCCGCTCTGCATTCCCCATGCCTACTACAGAGCAGTAACCCATCGACGGCCCTGTGGACGCGGTTTCAACAAAGCCGCCATGCGCAGCAGCACCAGCACTTCAGATCAGGAAGCTCGAAAAGCTGTTTCCCCCCTGGACGAGGCCAACACACTCCTTCGCTGTGTCGTTCACTCCCGAGTTATGCGCGTCACACCCACCTTCCCAGCCATGCTGTACGCTTTCTGCTTCTTCTACGTTTGCTCTTCACACACACTCACACACAGTCTGGATAAAGCAATCGCAACTCCCTTTTGTTTAATAGTTACGGCATCTCAACAAAAGTAAACAGGGAAAAAGGTGAAAAAGCACGCTAGCAGCTGAGCTGCCTTGGTCCTCGCTGATGTTCCATGCCTTACACATTGCTGCCCAGTGCTCACCGGGTGTCGGGCACTATTCTAAGCAGTTTACCACCTAACTCACTCGCTGCTCACATGAACAGATGAAGTAACTGCTGTTATTATCTTCATGCTATGGAAGGGAAAAGCAAGGCACAGATCTAACTCCAGCCAAAGACTGGAGGCCGCACTCACTCATTACTCCACATTGGTTCGGAGCAGCCACAGCTCTACACCTGTCACCTTTGCAAGTGCCGCTCTTACACACAAGATCCTGCAGGAGAATCAGCACCTACTGTGCTCCATCTGTATGAAAAAGCACATCACCTGCCAGTTGGGAAAAAGAATTCAATTAGAGAAACTAAAGTACCTAGTATTCCCATTGCTGGGAATAGAATCTAAAGAAACAACTGGACAGAATGTGAGTTCTGTCTTATAGCATCACGTCTGGGTCTGGAAGAAAGAGGCCAATACTCAACCCAGAGCAACTAAAATAACCAACAGTCAAAATTAAACAGTATAGTCTGTTAATGTAATTGGTTAAAGGGCAAAAACTAAGAAAAGCCAAAGACAATGATAAAATGTGGAGGTCTAAATATGGGAATGTCAGTTTAAAAACAAACAAGGAAGGCTTATTACCAACTGCAGTCGCAACAGTGGGAAATATCTTTGTAACTGGGCCAAGTCCTAAGAAATCACAGACACTTGTAAATATATGCTGTTAAGAGAAATAGGAACCTTTGCATGTATTTTTTTAAAAATTTTTTGTAAATTCATCTGCCTGTTAAATTTTTCAAAAGGGAAACCATCACCAGAGAGGCTTTTTTCCCAAACAAATCCAAACCTTATCTCAGGCTGACTGGAAATCACAAGGAGGTGAAGTTACTGGATGGTTTCTCAAGCACCTGCTCCCTTGGAGCTGGGAGACATTGTGTATCATCTCGGGGGCGAGGGGCAGAGTTCCTGGAATCTCCTGGAATGCTGGGACTGATATTGTACACATCACATCTTTTCTTCAGAGGAATGCCCACTGAATCCATCCATTTTTTATTTATTGAACACCTACCGACCCCGTGTTCCTGTCATTGATCTTGGTGGTGTAAATATAAAATGAACAAGACAGAAAGGGTCTTTGACCTGATCAGTTTACATTCAAGTGAGAGACAATAGGCAATAAATTAGAAAAAGAAATGAGCAGCGTCATTCTAGGGAGTAAGTGCTACATGGGAAATAAAGCAGAGTCATAAAAATGACAATGATGTGGGAGGGGCTGGGCAATTATAGTTGAAGGGGTGAAGGAAGGTCCGGTAGGGTAGTGACTTTAAGACAGAGACCTGAAAGTAAAAAATAAGGACCAAGAAAGTATTCTGAAGGGAGGAGCTAGCCTGAGCAAGTTCTGAAGCTAGAGTTTAATAAATCACAGGAAACACAGTGCTGGTAGAGGATAAGCACTAGGGAGAGAAGAGAGGAAATTAGAGAGGAAGGTAGCAACAGGCCATGCAGGATGCTGAGTCATGAAAAATACAGTGACTGTTTACATTTTTTAATGCACTGCAGTAAAAATCACGTTGCCATTAATCTCCCTCAAATATCCCCTCCCTTGCTTTAAACACACTCATCCCATCATCCTTGCCACTTCCTGCAGCAGCTCTGGAGTCCTCTTTTGTGAGTGTCTTTAGTGGCACTGACATGGCTGCCTTGATGTCCTGAATGGGTTCAAAATGTTGACCTTTCATGGTCATTTTGACTTTGAGAACAGCCAGAAGTCACACAGTGACAGATACAGGGAATAAGGTGGATGCAGGCACATTAATGTTTTTTACAAGCCTGATTTTCCATTGGATGACACTCAGAAGCACCATTCCCCACATTTTTTATCACATGTCATAAAGATCCAAAGGATCTTTCAGAAGCATTCAGAAATGCTTCAGAAAGTGCCAAAAAGGGATTAATATGTTTGAAACAAAGGGAGTATCCTGAGAAGGATTGATGGAAATGTGTCTTTTACTGTAATATATATTTTATTCAAAATGTGTACAAATTCTCCTAAATGAACGTCATTATTATGTATCACAAATACATCCCTATAAAATTCATTCTTTTTTCTTGTGCCAGAGATCAAACTCAGGACCTTGCACTTGTGAGGCAGGTGCGGTGCCATGAACTAAATCCCTGACCCCAATAAAGTTCATTCTTAAAAGGTAGGATTTAGTTATGAAAACAATTTTAATGAAAAAATTTTAAAGGAAGCCACATTTAACTCTTAAAGCTGGGCTAAATTCCCTTTTCATAAAGGAATATGCATGAGTCTTTGGGGGGCCACAGATGGAATATTATGTCTTGCATCTAAATGTCCCCACCAAAGCCTCATGCAGTCATGGGGGAGCTTTTTCAGTGATGGCTGGATCGAGAATGTATAATGCTAGGATTAAGGGAGTGTGATTACTAAATCAGACTACTGACTGGTTTGGCACAATCCTAAGCCTGATAACTATGTAGACTATAAAAGGGGAAGAAAGAAACTGCTAAGGTTGTTTGGACTTGCTGCTTGCAACTTCTGCCTTCTGCCTGCCATGAACTGTTTCTCCTCTGCAATGTCCCTCTTCCATGCCACCCTGTCTTGGAGTCAACAAACTATGAACGGAAACCTCTACAAACTGTGAGCTAAATAAACCTTTCCTCCTTTAACTTTGGGTGTAAGTTATTTTTGTCTCAGCAACAAGAAAAGCAACTAAGAATCCAATCTTCAATTTGACTTCAAGTCTTCAATAAGACTTGTTTTATGGACCAATATTTGATCTGAGTAATGTTCTGTGTACCATTTGTATACAGTCTTGTTAGGTTTTGTTGATCTATAGAGAATAGTTTAAGTCTGATATTTCTTCTGGACAATCTCTCTATTGCTAATAAAGGTATGATATTCCTTTAATATTATTGTACTTGTCTCTTTCTCCTTTCAGATATATTAATATTAGCCTTATACATTTAGGTGACCCAATGTCTAGTGCATACAATTTCATAATTGTTATACATGTTCATAATTGTTACCTCCTCTTGATGAACTAGCCTTTTATCATCATATAATGATCATCTTTGACTTCTCTTTCAATTTTCAATTTAAAGTCTGTTTTATCCAACATTAGGATCGTTCCTCCTGCTCTCTTTTGGTGTCCAGTTGTTTGGTCTCCAGGAATACCTTTTTCCGTTCCTCCACTCTTTGACTTTCAGTCTGTTTCTTTACAGGTGAGGTGGATCTCTTGTAGGCAGCATACAGTGGGTTCTTATTTTTTTCATTCATTCAGCCTTTCTGTCTTGATTGGAGAATTCCATACGTTTACAT